GCAGCAGCGCTGGCAGCCTGCCAGGAAGTGGTCGTGGCCTAGGCTCCAGGCTGGTCCCGCCCCAGCTGCCTTCCCAGGCTCCACCCACACAAGCCAGAAACAAGCCAGGGTGTGGCCTGGCCCCATGTGTCCCCTTCTCCCCATCCCTGGGGTGAAAAAAATCCATAGGCCAGGACGGGGGTGGGTAGATGTGCAAGAGGGCTTAGAGGGGATAAATGGTGATGGAAAAATAAAAATTTTAAAAATCCCATAGGCCAGAGGAAGCCAGGGTGTAGGGGACTGGTATGGGCAGCTAATTAATGTGAGGAGACTTGACCATATTTCCTACTATATGCCTTCTCTCTGCCCAGGTTGCCACATGGGCAGGGCAGAGCTGGCTGACCATGTGTTGGATGCCAGGAGATGGAGGCAGAGAGGGATCCAGCTCACAGCCCAGGGGCTCCAGTCTAACTCCCTGGAAAAGGGAGTAATATTGCTGGGGATGAATGGGTTAAAAGCAGCCCCTTCTCCCTCTCCCCCCTCCCCGCCCCCCCTTGGTTTCAAGGTTCCTAATGAGCTCTGTGGGAGGCCCTGGGTTTATAAACTTCAAAGTGGGGTATAAGATGCCTCAACACTGGTGGGCAGAGGCGGAACCAGGCCAGCTTCTGAGACTACTGCCCCCTTCCCCCCAGCTGGGAGTGAGACCTCCAGCAGCAGTCAGGACAGGGGTCAGGTGGCTGGGGGAGGGACAGGATTGGCCCCTGGCTAAGGGGGGGGGCGGGGGATGCCTCAGCTAGGGGCCTCTCTCCAGGACAATCCCTCTGGGCAGCCTCAGATTGGCCCTGCCCTGCTCTCCTGTCACCGGGCACACCCCAGGGAGGGGACCTTCCTTACCTGGGACCAGCGGCAGGCAGGCAGGCAGAGTGGCTTTGGCCTCCTTGTGGCTGGGCTCTCTGAGTGGCACTCAGACTTGGGAGCGTGGGGCCTGCTGGGGTGGGGCCGTTCCACCGAAGTGCCTTCTGTTGACCATGCCCTCCAAGAACTCTGTCTCACTTTCTTCTGCACAGCTGGGGGCGTCCTCAGGAAAGTTTAACTCCAAAAAGAGGAGGAAACAGCGGGATGGAGCTTGCACGCCAGTGAGTGGAAAACATCCCCGAGCCAGGCAGAGGAGGGCGGGCAGCAGAGGGCGGTGCGAGAGGAGAGGAAGTTGGGCTGCCTGTTGAGCAGCTCTTGGCCTGCGGCCTGAGCCTGGCTCTGCCTGCCTGCCTTCCCGAGGAAGAGAGCTGCTGCCGGAGCCCACCTGACAGTGCCCTACACCAGTGGGACTGGTTCAGGGCCAGGCCGGGGGCCTGTGGGAGAACTGGCCTGGGCCTGCCTTCCCAGCCAATTACAAGAGCAGCCCCTATGCTTGGCACCCTGCCCCCACCCTGGCTAGACAGAAGCTGCTGGGACAAAACCTTGGCAGGGCTAGGGGAGAGATGCCATCAGACTGAAGCTGACCCATCACAGGATATGCAAGGCTAGGCCTGCCCCCTGCCCACAGCCTCCACCCATTCCCACCCCTCTTCTGGCCCTTCTCCTTCAGGCACTGCCAGGACAAATCCTTCCATCCAGACTCCAGCTAACTCCTCAGTTACTGCTTCCGGTCTCAGAGGACTGGTGATAGAATTCTGGAGTCTAGGGACTCTCTGAGGCCCTGTGGGCAGAACTCTGACTGGTTGATGGAAATTACAAGGAGGCAGGCTTTTAAGAAAAGCCTCTATAACAGTGGTTCTCAACTACCCTAGTACCGCAACCCTTTAATACAGTTCCTCATGTTGCGGTGACCCCCAACCATAAAATTATTTTTGTTGCTACTTCATAACTGTAATTTTGCTACTGTTATGAATCGTCATGTAAATATCTGATATGCAGGATGTATTTTCATTGTTACAAATTGAACATAATTAAAGCATAGTGATTAATCACAAAGACAATATGTAATTATATATGTGTTTTCCAATGGTCTTAGGCGACCCCTGTGAAAGGGTCGTTCGACCCCCAAAGGGGTCGCGACCCACAGGTTGAGAACCGCTGTTCTATACTGATCAGAGATGCCCAGACTGTGCCAAAAAGTGGTCGTGAGCCCCCCATCTGTGGAGTGTGCGAGCTAAGGCTGAGAGCCATGAGTCAGAATTCTGCAGAGGAGAGAGTCTTGTCCAAGGACAGGCTGGATGATCAAGGGAAAGACCCCCAGCTCTGTAATGCTTGCGGTTCTGTCACAGTGGAACTGCTGAGTGACATGCTGGCCTCTGAGTTAGACTTGTCCATGTGCAGGAGTGAAGGGCAAGGGACCAGTGTTTGTTTTTCAGATCCTACCACGTGCCAAACACTGTTCCAGATTCTTCCTTCAAAGTTATCTCCCTTTATCCTCACCATCATCCGGGAAAGCAGATCTTTTAATGTCCATTCTACAGATGGACACACTGAGGCTTGGAGGGATTCGGTGACTTACCAGAGGTCCTACAGCTCTAGTATTTAAACCCACGTCTGCCTGACCCAAAGCTTTACTCTTAACATTTTTACTTCCCAATACCTCCTGGCTGGCTTTTCCCTCCCCCACCTCACCCCCAACACACACCTGATCTTTACTCATCTGAATCCTCTCCCTCATTCAGGGTCTAGACCAGCCGTGGGCAAACTACGGCCTGTGGGCCGGATCCGGCCCGTTTGAAATGAATAAAACTAAAAAAAAAAAAAAGAGACCATACCCTTTTATGTAATGACGTTTACTTTGAATTTATATTAGTTCACACAAACACTCCATCCATGCTTTTGTTCCGGCCCTCTGGTCCAGTTTAAGAACCCATTGTGGCCCTCGAGTCAAAAAGTTTGCCCACCCCTGGTCTAGACTCTAGATCAAGTCCCACATCCTGGAGGAGCCCTCCCACCCAGCTTGGCCTACAGGGTTGGCCCTCCTCCCAAACCATTAAAGGGAGGGAGACCAGGCTTCACACGTGGAAATAGAGAGAAGGGTGCATATAGAAGAATGGAAATTATTAAAACAATGTTGTAGGGCTCAAAATCAAAATGAATTCTTAGCCCAGCCGATGTGGCTCAGTGGTTGAGTGTCAACCTATGAACCAGGAGATCATGGTTCCATTCCTGGTCAGGGCACATGCCCGGTTGTGGGCTCAATTCCTGGGTTTCTATTTCTCTCTTCCTCTCTGAAATCGATACAAAGATATGTTAAAAAAAATGAATTCTTAGATGAGTAGGATTTGCATCTTTTTAAAAATATATATAATTCTTTATTGATTTCAGAGAAGAAGAGAGAGGGAAATAGAAACATCAATGATGAGAGAGAATCATTGACTGGCTGCCTCCTGCACGCTCCCTACTGGGGATTGAGCCTGCAACCCGTGTATGTGTCCTGGGCAGGAATCAAACCCGGGACCCTTCAGTCTGCAGGCTGATGCTCTGTCTACTGAGCTAAACCGGCCAGGGCAGGACTTGCATCTTAAAGATAGGTGAGGGGACAAGAAGCCCATCTTCTTGGCCCTGTTTCCTCCTCTTCAGCAAAGATGGCTGCAGTTCCTGATGTCCCTCCTCTCATGTCCAGGGGGACGAGGAGGTTACGCCCACAGGTTCAGAAATCAACAAACATGTCAGCCACACACACCGAGTGCCTGCCATATACCATGTCCTTTATACACTTCACTCATTTAATCTCACAACAACCTCGTGAGGGAGGCGCCCTCATCTCCATGGTACATAGGAGGAAACTGAGGCACAGAAATGAAGTAACCGGCCAAGGGACACAATTGGTAAGTGGTAGAGCCAGCTTCTGACCCCGTTCTGTCTCACTCTGGACTCTTGAGCTGTTTCCACTCCAGGCAGCCCCCTTCACCCCTGCACCCTCATCCCCACCTCAGGGCAGCGCCTCAAGCACTTTAGAGCCTCCACCCAGGAGGGGGGGGCCTTTGAGAAAACGGTAAGACTCAGCTTGTGTCCAACTGCCAAGCCCTGCGGGTGGCCTGATTTCCCCCGGATGTGATGGAGGTGTCAGTGAGAGGACCTTCACCATGAGAGGTGCTTTGGTCTGAATGTGCCCCCTCCAGGATTGATACGTTGAACCCCCCAAAGTGATGATATTAAGGGGCGGGGTCTCTGTGGAGCCCTCACGAATGGGACTAGTGCACTTATAAAAGAGGCTCTTCTGCTGTGTGAGGACAGTGAGAAGCCACTGGCTATGAGTCAGGAAGAGAGCCTTCACCAGAACGGGACCATGCCAGCAGCACCACGGTCTTGGCTTCCAGCCTCCAGAAGTGAGAAATAATTGTCCTTTGTGTATAACCTACCCAATCTGGGATATTTTGTTACAGCAGCCCAAACAGACTAAGACAGGAGGCCTTTGGTGTTAAATAAACATGCAGTCCACCATGACAATTGTCGCGTGACCTCCATGGTGACCACATACCCTGGCTTCTCCCTAACGGACCTAGATTCTGGCATCTTTTGTGTCACACAAGGTGTGACCCACCTTGGCTTGGTCAGCCTCACTCAGGAGACTGGCCAAACATCAGAGGACTGCTGTTTCATGAGACGGCTGGATGCCCGCTCACTCCCTGGGCCTTGAGCATACAGGAACGGAGATCTCAAAAAGTCACAGACAAACGTAGATGCTGGGGCAAGGTGTCTGTAGAACCTGAGTGCAGATCATGAACCAGAAATAAAGTGGCCTAGGAGGGAATGGGGAAGTGGGAGCCTGTCCCCTTCAAACCAATTTTGAACCTTTGACTAACACTGCTTGTGGCTCCACTGCCCACTTTTCTGGGGCCATCTAGGTGACAGCTGGAGGAGTGAGGTCCCCTTCCAACTCCAAATTTCCAGCCTCAAATGGGCAGGTGAATGCCTGGGCACATGGGTCTGCTCCAGGGGCCTACCGCCCAGCACCTGTAGCCTTCATTTTTCCATCTGGTTTGAGGTCAGATGGGCCGTGAGCTCAGACCCCCATTCCTGCCTCTTCATCTGGCCACAGCTCACACTTTGCTGAAGTAGGTGGCCACCTCCTTGCGTGGAAGCCGGGGGCCGCCCCCTGGCCAGCCATTGCCGATCAGGGGCTCCTCCTGGCCCAGCTTCAGGGGTGGCTTGCATTTGTGCCAGCTTGTGAGCAGCCTGTTCATGGCACCTTGATCGGTGATGCCTCGAAGCTTCTCCCTCTCTTCCTTGGCACCGTCAGTGGTAGCTGGGGCAGCTGAGCTAGCAGGGGCCATGGCCAGTGCCCCGTGGGTGTGACCCAGCTCCAGGTCATGGTTCATGGCCTCAAAGAACTGCTGGATACAGACCTTGGCGAAGGCCTTGGCATGCTCCGTGCATGTCTCATCGAAGAGCTTGCGCTCAATGTCAATATAGTGGGACCAGTACTTGCTTTTGAGGAAGGCGGCCTGTGTAAAGCAGGGTCGCACAGAGCGCACGACAAACGCCAGCAGTGTGGTCAGCAGCACGAAGGACCAGCCCAGTGCCTGCATGGGAGAGAAGAACGGGTCAACAGGCATTGCCCTCTGGCCTCCCAAGTCTGTCCGCACCCCCCATACCAGTCTCTATGTCAGGCCCTTTAGTGAAAAGAGCACCAATTGGACAAGCGACTTCACCTCTCGGCCTCTATTTACATGTCTGTAAAATAGGCACACATATACCCTTTTCATGAAAATCAGATCATGTGAAGAATATGCCCCATGTGTAGGCCTGGCACTCAGCAGGCAGGCGTTAACTAGGAAGACCCTGGAGTTAGGCTGCCTTGGGTTTGGATCCTGTCTCCACTACTTACTAGTTGACCAGGATAAGCTGACTTCTCCGTGCCTCGGTTTCCTCACCTATAAAATGGGTTGGTGATAGTTCCTATCTCATAGGATTGTTGTGTCTGGTACATAGTTGCTCAGTAACTGTTAGCCTCTATACTTATGTCAATAGGCCCTTGCCGACCAGGCCTCTTCCTTCAGGAAGCCTTCCCTGACCTCCCCAGGCCAAAGTGACCCTTCTTCCTCTGAGTTCCGTTTCCCTCCATTGGCTCCTGGTATTCTCTGCCATGCAGTCGCCAGCACTGAGTGCCTGCTCTCTGTGGGCTCTGAGCTGGGCCCTGGGGTCACAGATAAATCAGACAATCACTCAAACTCTTAGCTGAAGAGCTGTCACACGGCCCTAGGTGACTGGGAAAAGTGGAAGCTGGCTCTGTTCCACCAACAACTCCCTGTGGGGTCGGGTCAGGAAGCGCTCCCAACCTGTGCTTCAGAGTCAGCCCCAAGCTGCACAGAGAAGCATTTGGCCAGATCAGAAGCTGGGAGGAGAGCAAATCTAATGTCTATAATGGGTTTGGCAGGGCAGACATCCACTGGGGAGCTAGAGAGCATGTGCTTGGATAGAGGGGGGCAAGAGGGGGTACCCCTGTGCTGCTCCCTGAGGAAATGTGTGCCCTGTGGGGCCAAATCTCCTGAAGTTTCAAATAAAGCTGGAAATCTGCTTTTTATGTGAAAATTTCTACTTTTTTAGATGATGCCAACTAACTCTAAAAATGAATTTTAATTCAACCCCTGAAGGCCAAATGGAATATGTTATAGGCTAGGCAGCCTGTCCTCTGGGAGCCCTTTAGCTTGTGATGTGATCAGGTGGAGGGACAGCTGCCCCAGGCCCTGAGGCCAGGGATGGTGGAACAAGTGCCCACAGGAGAAGAGGCACAGGTTTGGGAGGGAAATGGAGTTTGTTTATTTATTTACTAGGAGCCTGGTGGTGCCTGACATTCATGAACTGGGGGGAAGGGGGTCCCTCAGCCTGGCCTGCGCCCTCTTGTAGTCTGGGACCCCTCTGGGAATGTCTGCCTGCTGGCTTAGGCCGCTCACTTAGCGCTGCTCACCAGACGTGAGCTCAGCTTCTGGCTGGGCAGCGCTCCCCCTGTGGGAACGCACTGACAAGCAGCTCCCTGGTGTTTAAGCATCTGCCCCATGGTGGTCAGTGTGTGTCATAGCGACTGGTTGTTCCACCATTCTGTCAATTTGCATATTAGGGTTTTATTATATAGGATTTTTAAAAATATATTTTTATTGGTATCAGAGAGGAAGGGAGAGGAAGAGAGATAGAAACATCAATGATGAGAGAGAATCATTGGTTGTGGAAGCAGAGTTTGGATCGGACACTCAGAGTGTGAGATTCACTTGGGGCTAGTGGTGATGCAGGCCTCCAGGAGAGAGTTCTGGGCAGGGTGTCTGGACTTGCCTGAGCAGAGTATACAAGTTTCTCTCTTCCTTGCAGGGCAGGCCCAGCCCCAGCCCCTTCCCTGACATCCCCTGGTCCACGGGCTACAATGGCACACTGCCCAGGCTGTCCTCCCCACACTGCGATGCCTGCAGGGAGGCCTGACGGGCTCTGATGGGTGAGTGCCCAGAGGGGCAGAGGAGTCGAGCTCTGGATTTTCTCAGTGGGCCCTCCAACCCTGTCTTCAGGGCACATCCCCACAGTGCATCTCCCTCCCCAAGAGGCAGCGGACCCTCAGCTCCCACTCCCCAAGCAGGGAGATACCAGCTGGGGGCATTTGCCAGGGAAATGTACCCAAATGGCTTAGCCTCTCACCAGCCTCACCACGGCCCAGCCTGGGAGAGGAAAAGGATGCAAATTCCCCCAGGTTCCAAGCCGGAGCTCAGGATGAGGCTATGGCACTGGCTGGGCCATTGGGTCTGCTCTGGGGACCTCAGGGTGGGAACAGGCCTCTGGACTGAAGTGGTCACAGCACTTTCCCCAGGTCGCCCCATCTGAAGAGACATGTGGCCTTCAGAAGCCCCTGCCTCTGTTCGGAAAATATGCCCCTGCCCCACAGAGCTCCATCTGAGGGGACCCAGTCTGTTGGAAAACATGACTGTTTCTGAGAAAGCCCCGTTTTGAGAGGTGGGGGGATTGGGTCCTTGCAGAGACCCAGGTCTGTGCAGGGAGACCCAGCCCGGGCCACTGTCCCCTCACCTGGGAGATGCAGCGCAGGTAGCGCACGGCCACCTCACGGGCCAGCAGCCAGTCGCCGTCGTAGATCTCCGGGCAGGGCACCCGGGCCAGCAGGCGGGCGAGCTCTGGCGGGGTAAGGCTGGGTGCCAGACTGCTGTTGCCCAGCACAGTCACGGGCACAGCGGTGCAGAAGGCACAGAGGAAGCACTTGCCATCCAGCAGCGTGACGGCCACCCAGACGACAGGCGCGATGAGGGCGCGCTGGGCCATGGAGCAGAACATGTAGCGCAGCACGGCGGGATCCTTTGCCCGGCGGCCTGGTGGCCGCTTCCACTCCTCAGCCAGCATGGACACGTTGTTGTTCAGGACCAGGCCCAGCAGGAACAGCACCAGGGGCGGCGCCAGCAGGATGCCAGCGCTGTAGGCTGCGTTGTAGCCGGGCAGGCAGGGGCAGTTAAAATCGAAGGCTGAGTATATCTGGGCGCTGGCCAGGGCCATGATGCCGCAGATGCCGTTCATGAAGGACTCCTGGTTGGACTGCAGGAACTGGAAGACCATCCGGAATTTGTCCATCGCGCCCCCCCACGGAGCCTGGCGGCCTCCTCCCACCTCACCGCTGCCTCAAGGATGGTTCTTGCAGCCCACGGTGCCCACTGGGTGCCCACCTCATGGCTGAGATGGGCAGAGCTCAGGGCAGTGGCTGAGGTCACTGTCTCTCTGAGAAACCTTCTCATTAGGTGCTGGCTGGGAGGCGCGAGGCGGCCAGGGCTGTGGGTGTAGCCAGGATTCTGCCCCTCCCTCCGGGCTCTCTCTCCACAGCCACCTCCGGCGCAGGGAAACCACCAGGGCCACACCCGATGGGGACCAGTTCTCTATGGGTGCGGGAGGAGGGCCAGGAGTGCAGACAGGCTGGGAAGACACTGTCTCCCGCAGGGTTGAAGTTTGGGACAATCCAGGGCTGCTGCAGAGGTCTGAGCTTCTGAACCGTGTCCCCTGGGCTCCAAGGAAGCATGTGACCCTCCTCCGGCCCTTCCATTGGGTCTTTTCTCCACGCTATGCCAGGGTCCCCCATCCGTTCAGACAATGATGGTACGATGATGCAGTGACGGCAATGGTAGTGGTGGCTGTAAGGGGGGTGATCATGGTGGTGCTGGGGAAGGCAGTGTTGGTGTTGGGGATGGTGCTGATGGAGGTGAAGGTGATGGCGGTGACGATGGCGGTGATGATGATGGTGGTGTGATAGCAGTAATGATAATGATGGCAGTAGTGATTCTGGTCACAGTGGGAGGGCAGCTCTAGTAATGGAGACAGTGCTAACGCGCAGCATGGCGTAGAGTAAAAAGCCCTGAATGTGGAGCCAGAGGATTTAAATCTGAGGTTGCTGGGTCTCCTCCCTCCTGGGCAGGGAGCTATAGCCTGTGAGCATAAGGCAGGTGCTTTTATGTCTGGTTTTCTTATGTCTCTGTGGGTGTCCGTGTTTGTAGATTATGGATGAAAAATCCTTTCCTGGCCCTGCCTCCTACTTCTACTCCCCCAGATTAAAAGATAAAGGGGTGGGGGGTGGGGTTTCATGCCTGAGCTCAGGCCCTCAAGCGTCTGTGGGAACCAGGCCAGGGCCCCTCCTATCAAAGTGGGGAGGAGTTTAAAGGGCTCCCTTTGATGCCCACCAGTTCTCCCAGAAGAGCAGGTCAGACCCAGCTCCAACCACATGGCTCCTGTCTCGGGTGAGAGGGTGGGGCCGGGGCTGACACAGAGCAAGAGGCTGGACAGGGTAGCTCTGTGCATCCCTGTGGGTGCCATGGGTGCTCTCGGTGCCTTTGGGCCTTGGGATCTGTGTATCTGCATGTGTGCATGTAACCACATTAGTGGTCTGTGCGTGTCTGTGTGACCAACAAGAACTTGCATTGACTGGGCTTTCCCTGTGTCAGGCCCTATGCCAGCACGTTAGAGGCATCGCCTTGTGAAATGCTCATAGAACCCTACGGAACAGGTGCTATTGTCCCCATTTTACAGAGGTGGGGACTGAGGCTCAGAGAGATTAAGTTAATAGCTAAAGCAGGGGTCCTCAAACTTTTTAAACAGGGGGCCAGCTCACTGTCCCTCAGACTGTTGGAGGGTAGGACTATAGTTTAAGAAAAAAACTATGAACAAATTCCTATGCACACTGCACATATCTTATTTTGAAATAAAAAAACAAAACAGGAACAAATACAATATTTGTATTTGCATGTGGCCTGCGGGCTGTAGTTTGAGGACCCCTGAGCTAAAGTGTACCCAGCGTGTAGGTGGAGGAGTGGGATTTGAGCCCAGCTTAGGTGGGCGTGGCGGTTGGAGAGGGGGCGGAAAAGTGTTTTCTGGTCTTTCTCTTCCAGCTGCATCAGTTCTCCTGGCCGACTGGTCCAGGTGGAAAAGGTCGTCACAAACAGGATGCGGGTGGAGAAGGATAGTGCTCTTCTCAGCCCTCTGGCTGGGCCTGCGGCAAATGGGGCCTCTAGGCTGGTGGCCTCTGGAAAACCCTTGTTGGGGGCTTCCCAGGGAGGACCCCCAGAGGGAGAGCAGGACGAGAGTGGGACGTGCCCTGGGCCCTTTGCCTCCTGTCCTGGCCCCCACCTCAGTGCTGAAGGAGTTAAGTGTCATGAAAAGCAGCATGCAAAGGGGCCGCTGGGGAGCGGGTGCTGGGCCTTTAGGAAAATGTCCCATTTGCGTAGGAGAGCACGAGTGTGTGGTGCTCCAGTGGGCACTGCTCTCCACCAGCGGCTGGAGGAGCACCCACAACTCTGCAGGTCTTGGCCCTTCCTCTCCTCACTCAAGCCTCTCTCATGCTTTTCATTCCTGCAGCTCAGGCATCCCAGCCACGTGGGTGAACCACAAGTTTCAGCCCTCCTCCTGAGCTAGCCTGCAAGCACTTTCTCATCACTGACTTCCTGCAGAATGAAGTCAAGGTCCAAACTTCCATGTCTCCCACCATCCTTCCCTCCTCACGCAGAACTGCATGGGCAACATGGGGGATTTAGACAAGCCACGCCCTCACGGCTAGTACATTTCTGCCTTGCCCGCTGGCCACTGTGTCTCCTACAAGAGAGGCTCTATGTACAGGGTAGGCACAGGAGGGCCATCACCCAGAGTGCGACGAGGCTTGGGGAATGAACTTGGGCACTCCGATGGCTGCTCCCCTGGGAGGGAGGGTCTTCAGATGCAGGTGGAAGCCTCCCACCTGTGTCCCTCTCTCCCAGGTGAGGTGGCACACGCTGCCCCAGGCATCTCTTTCTCACGGGATGTGAACAAATGATGGTGTGGACGGACATTAGCTAAGATTTGGGGTTTGAAACCATATCGTGTTTGGGGGCTAAAAAGGGTGGGGATGCATTTGAGGACCATCCATGGCAGAGGATCCCAAGAATGCGTCCCTGGTCCTCTTGGTGGACTTCATGTGGGGTCAGCTCCTCAGCTCTCCAGCCAAGGTCCTCACTTTAGCCAGGCTAGATTGCACACCCTTTCACTGGCTATTTTTTTCACTAGCTCATGTCCTATCTTCCCTTCCAGACTGGAAGCTCCATTAAGATAGGCCCATGTCTGTCCTGCTCTCGGACACTCTAGGCATTCCATCATTATTTGCTGAATGAATAAGTGAAACATGTGCGACCCCTTCCCCAACTCTTTGCCTTTATTCTTGCTGTTTCTTCCCTTGAGGTGCTCTTCCCCACCCCCACGTCTCTCTCTCCCTGTCCAAACCCTCCCCATCCTTCAAGACCCATTCAAATGCAGTCAGTCGCTCGGCCTGGAGTGTTATTCTACATGCTCAATCCCCATGGCACCTGACTTGCCTCTAGTCTATCATATCACTTACACCTTTTGCTGCGGATTATAATGATTCCTATACCCATCGCTGACTGTATCTCCATTAGACAGCGGGCTTTATCGTCTGTGTGTTCTCTCTTCCTTATTCCCTGGTACAGGATTGTCTATGTAGTTGGTGCTCTGTAAGTGCTCAGTATTAGAAGGCAAGAGTATTGATGACAGTCAGTGGCTTTTTACTGGTTCAGATGCTGCGTCCTTGCAGCCCAAAGTGAGGTCCCTGAGCCTCCTTTCCCCAGGCTGGGATCTCACCAGCCATGACTGGGCCATCTCCAAGCTTTCCCCACCCACTCCTCACCCAATCCCTGCTAACACTTTGCCTAAATCTTGCCCCACCTCAGTGCCATTTCTGATATTTGCATCGCCTGACCACAGCAGGGTAGGTTGGGGGAGGCTGAACTGCAGGGATTGTCTGGTCCTACAAGGTCCCTTGGCAAGAGGTCAGGAAAGCAGGTATAACTATCCTGATATGGAGGGGGCCAGGCTCTTGGGAGACATCCTGGGACTCCTGGACTACTCCTAGGGGGTCTGCACCATTTGTGCTAATGAAGGCAACAGTGGTGTGTGTGTGTGTGTGTGTGTGTGTGTGTGTGTGTGGTATGAGTGAGTCATTAGGGAGGAGCTCACAGGCTAGATCTTCCCCACCCCTTCCTGTTGGGGCCACCAAACACTGAGTGCCAATTTCCCCTTCACCCCCAGCAAGATAGAACCCTGATGTTTCAAGGGTTTTCATCCCGTAGCCAGACCCCACACCCACAGTTGGCCCAGAGTTTCTTAAACACTGGAACTTACACAATCTTCTTGTTCAACGTGGAGACGTCTAGGTCTGCCCCACCCTGGTTTGCCGATCTGGTCCTCACACCACACACCAGGGGAAATCCTCACCAGGGTGCCAGCTTCTTGCTGAGGGCCGTGGTAAGATAGCCTGAAGATACCTGAGGAAGGAGGCAGCCTTACATAGAGGTGCTGAGCTCAGGTGTCAGGCCGCAGGTGGGGGGGAAGGTGAGGAGTGGAAAGGTGAGGGAGGAAGCACCTGCTAACTGAAGGTGGGCAGAAAAGCTGGGCCGAGAAAGGAGCTGCATCTCAAAATGGGGTGCACCTTGAAGGGGGCTCAGCCTTGGTCTGCTAGAAACAGAATTGGTGGGGCTTTATCACCTGTGTATTCTGTCTTCCTTATTCCCTGGCACAGGGCTGTCTATGCTTTGAATAAAGCACTTTTGATATTTTTCTTGAAATTATTGTGTTTTCTTTGATTACAAAATCCGCATTAACCGGTTATGATTATCCCGCACTATTAACCGGTTAATGATTAATCCTCATTATTAACCGGTATCCCCATTATTAACCCGTATCCCAGGGCTCCCCCCTGCCTCTGGCTCGGTTCGGGTTCGGGCTGGCGGTGGGCGGCGGGTGCCTCCCGCGCGCTCCCCCAGGGCCATAGAGTCAGAGCTCCTGGCGGGGAAGCTCAGAGGCTCAGCCTGCCCGGCGGCGGAGTCCATCATCTTATCCGCTGAGCAGTTACTTCCGTTTCCCACTTCTCTGAAGTCTCCTTTTTTTTCTTGCCTTGTGACCTGGTTTTCACCCTCGTGACGGGGCTGGTCCACATTCTGCAAATATTTCCTGCCCCCGCGCCCTTCAGCGACACTCGTGGCTGCCGATCTGCTGGTGGGTCTCCACGGTGCGCTTCCCCACCAGCGCGGCCTCCACAGCCTTCTTCTCCACCTTCTCGCACAGCTTCCCCACCCGCTCCTCTGGCTCGGCCCCTGGGCTGCGGG